GGGGTGGTCACGATACTAAATCTTGGCATTTTTAACCCCCTAGGAAAATATTCTAGGGGGTACTATGAAACTAGTTCATAACTCAAAGGATATATGAGCTATTGTTCTGAGTTGTACACCATACATTGCTAGTACAAATATGAATACTATCCTAAAGTTATGGGTTGATACCCTTATTGGTCTCAGAAAAATACAAAAAACAGGAAAAAGATACGCAATTTCTGTCTTGCCAATTTTATATTTGTAGCTTCAAGCACAATATGAGAGGTTTAACAGCTCATAGTAGTATTCTAAAAACATTTCCAAGCTATGTGTGGTATTGTAATACATCTATTTTAGTTATGAAGTACTATTTTGTAATTTTAATATGACTTTATAGTGCCCTACCCCTGGAAAATTGAAGAAAGTGGATGTGGTGAATTTTATCATTTTGCAGCATTAAGTTAGAAACATGTATTGATAGACACCAAATCAATAAATTCATACCATCATCAAATGTTAGGTGACATTCTAATTCATTTATTACTAGAATATAGGACTTAAGATATTTTATATGTAAGTTTTCAATTAAGTACATGTATCATAATGAAATCTAGTGTAATCACATACTAGAGAGGTTGGCATACAGTCTGGACATTGACATAAAGTCTAAACATTATAATCATCAATTGATCTCATTTGAGCAACTAGACTATGGTGGTCATCATGCACAAGTAATGTACAGTAGAACCTGCTAAGTGGAACACCTCCATAAGTGGAACACCTCCCAAGTGGAACGCCTTTTCAAAGTCCCGTTTTAAAAACCCATTGACTTAATGTTAATTGAACCTCTGTAAGTGGAACACCTCCAAACTTGAACAGTGAAAACCCCATATTGAAAAATTAACCTGCTAAGTGGAACAGTCAATTTCCATAGATTTCAATATTGATATATGTAAACAGAATTAATCTCCTTCAATGATATCTGGGTATGAAAACAGGTAATACTGTGATAATTGGCAAATTAGGATTTTAATGGATTAACCTCCTGTAGAGGTCAACATGAGATGCAACCAATAATTAATTTGATAATCAGCAAATTAGGATTTCATAAGATTTTCATTCAGAAAATTGGATTAACCTCCTGTAGAACTGGACACGTGATGCTACCACTAATTAATATCCCTTGCTGTTTGTTTCAAACTTAATAAGTAAGATTAAAAAGGTCATTTAAAAACAATTGAATTATTAGCAGTAGGAACAAGTCTTTAAAACTTAATTGCCTAATCCTTGTACCTGAGACTGGCACAATTAGGAGGATTAAGAATGTCAGAAAACATTTTTGGCAGAATGAGGAGGATTAAGAATGTCAGATACCTTTTCGAGTAAAATAAATGGATTATTAATGGTATATACCTGCCCTGTAATGAAGGGAGAATCATATTTCCAATGATACATATAAATCCTATATTTGATCTTGTATGTTCCCTGTGAACCCAAAACCTCCGTGTGGAACACCTTCTAAGTGGAACGCTTTGTGGCAGAATGGAGAGTGTTCCACTTACACAGGTTCTACTGTATTTACATAATAATGTTATAAAGGAGCATGTAGGTTATCGCAAACAACTTCAGACAATTCTAACTTGAATTATGAATATATTCTGACCATGAACATGGGTATATCTTTTAGATCTATTCATTATCTTCAAGAAAAGTAAATATAATGATTAATCAGACCTCAGTGATATTAAAGGGAATGGCCCAATCAACATACTTTTTACTAAAAATGTTGACCTAATTTTTACCAAAGATGCAACCTTTAATTATATTGTTGAATGCATAGCTTTGAGACATGTTCTATTTCCTAAGAGGAAAAGTGGATTGCTCCAGGGACTTTAAAGACACTGATGACCAAAATGAACTGAAACCAATGGATAGCATGAATTTTTCAAAGGGGAAATAACATGGGGAACACTAATCTTAGGGGAATTCAGTTTTCTTTTCAAGAGCTATTTGATACATTAAAATAAAGAATAGTAATGCATTAAACATTAATAAAATGATAGCATTTTTGGTGAAAATGAGGTCAACAACTTTGAAAAAATATATTGATGGGTTGGTTGATTGCTAGTGTAATATCTCCGAGTCCGATTGACTTTATTATCCCTGTATACCTGTCTTCATGGTCAGAAAATAGTCATAATTAAAGATATAACTGTCTGAAATTGTTTGTGATAACTTACCTGAACCTTTCCAGGTCAAATCAGGAGTGACAAAATTATTTCCACCAAATTTTTGACATGTCTTCAAATACGATAATATTTTCTTCATAAGATAGAGTGTCACTTGTGAAATTTATTGATTGACCTGAGATCGTACCATATCTTTATGACATAGAAGCGAAATAGCCATATTGAACTTTAATGATGTTTGTTTAATTGTTGTTTGCCACTTTTCGACAATTGTCAAAATTTGGGGGTTTTGGGGGAGGGGTACAATTAGGTTAAAAATTCACCTGATTCAGACTATCCTTAAATGAGCACTGATTCACCCGAGAGCATAACTTTTTCAAAACATGTAAGTGTTATTTTTGGACCACTCACATTAATGTTTCGTCTAATTTTCCCTCAGAGTTTCATCTTTGTCCAAATCTTATGCCATATTTGTTGAGATATATGAATGTTCATTATTTAAATCTTGCCTTCCTTTGCAGTTGGAAAAGATTCGGCATTAGGCGTTATAAGTCCCAGAGCATGATAAATAAAAAATAACAACAAAATGACATAGAACTGATAGATGTTTTCTCCTGTGCGTGTCAGCCTTGGTCTACCAAATTGCTATTCAGTAAGAAGAAACTCTTTTTTCAGTTTCCATTTTAATTTCCTGACAAATAGGGCGATCATCCCAGGATTTTTTCTATGATCTATGTGTCGCCATAGCAACTTCTGTTTTAGAGAACAATAGAAAAGATTACTTTACCATAATTTTAATCATCCCACATTGTAGACATATTTAGAATTAGAAATATGAAGAAAATGACAAAATCCCTTAAAACACATTTCTTAGGAAACAAATAGTGTCGTATTCTTGTTACTATGGCAACATAGTTTCTTCTTTTTGTCATTTTTGTCATACAGATTACCTATCATACCAGGACCAAATCCTGAAAATTTGAATTCAGTATCTTCATTAGTATCTTAGATATACATGTATAAGTTTATTATAGTGTCCCCTGCAGATTTTATTGGATTATATAAGGAAAATGCTCTGAAGAGGGTTGCCCAAGGATGCCACTTAACAGTTCTGGTATTTTTGAGGTCCCAACCCTCTATTCATGGGAATAGTTCACCATTGTAAAGCTACTCATGGTTAACTGACAGAATTGATTGTATCTTCAACTAAGAAGACAATAAAATGTTAAAACCAGAAGAAAACCACACCAACTTTCTTCTATTTACCAGGGGTAGGGCACTATAAAGTCATATTAAAATTACAAAATAGTACTTCATCACTCTAATAGATGTATTACAATATCACACATAGCTTGGGAATGTTGTTAGAATACTACTTTGAGCTGTTTAAGTTATCATATTTTGCTTGAAGCTACAAATATAAAATAAGCAAGAAAAAATGACAAAAATTGCATATTTTTTTCTAATTAATTGTATTTTTCCGAAACCAACAAAGATATCAACCTATAACTTTAGGGTAGTATTCAATGATGTACTAACAATGTATGCTGTAGAACTCAGAACAATAGTTTATATATCCTTTGAGTTATGAACTAATATTATAGTACCCCCTAAAATAATTTCACAGGGGGGTAAAAACACTAAAATTCAGTGTTGTGACCACCCCGTTGAGCTGTCATCTTTTAATATCTTTATCAGCATGAAAAACTGATCCAGAAAAAATAGGTCTGTTGCTTTTTCTAAAAAATGCCTCAAAAACCCTTTCCCTTGAGATATTCTGAAATTGGAACCTGTCTATGAATCATATTACACACGTATTATTGAATCATATTACACACAAATAATTCTAACTAGTGGTTGAAACATAAAATACACCAATTATTTTCTGTGGCACCAACTCCTGTACATAGGAATATATAATTGGTATTCATAGCAAAGATTCAATTTATTGGCATTTGGAAATGCATTCATTCTTTGATTTGTATAGATATATTTCATACTTAAGTATTATATGCTTATCTGGGATAAACAGTTTTTTTATACATACTAATTAACTGAATATTCCTCTTATAATTTTTTCATCAACATATGTGACCAACAGGCACTGCATTTTATACTTGCCAAAGACAGATGTGACCAGCTAAACATTGTATGTACAAAATGGAACAGGTTGAAAACAAGACTATTTTTTCTATAGAACTTATATAATTATACAATTCCGAAAAAAACATTGTCTACTTCTTGACAAACCCTGGGTCCTATTACGGCCTTCATCCAAACATCAAATTTGTTTGTAATTGGTCAGATCATTTCAGTACAAAACCCTGTCAGATTTTTCAAGCAACCTTCACAGTCAATTTTATCAAAGCAGATATGAAATGGTATTTTTGACCTAAAGAAATCAATATAATTTTTTGATAAATGTATTTGGATATGTTTTCTCATCAGTATTGTGGAAATTATTTCACTCTAATGATCGTTATTGTTGCTTAATATATCTTAATAAGCAATATTCGAATAGGTTGTGACGTCATTGGCCCCCACATGATCTCTCACTGGTCCCCAGGTGACCCGTTTTGGTCCGTTAAATCATGATGTCATAATGCCAAGATGGTTTGTTATTTGTTACACAACAATCATATAGCTGCCATGACATCGTAATTACCAAGGAACCAATGAACCCAAACTAAAAAATTATGTATGACGTGACTAATCACTTGGGGCCAATCTGATTGATCAGTTAATTTTATTACATTATTTATGACCATTTATTTATGACCATTTACCATTTTATAATGGTTATCGCAAGAACTCTACGTTGGGCTTACAATGAAGAAAACCGCATTTTTGTAGCTGCAAGTTGAGAAAACCTATTTCAGTTGTCCTTAAATAAAAAAACACTACTACCCAATGTGACAAGTAAATCCCTGTACAGTCATCTGCCTATTAATAACTAACACTCATTTAATAATATAAACTCCATAAATGGGGTCTTATCTAAACTGAACTTAATTTCTGATATTTGGAATGGTGGGTAGAATTTTGCTGCTAGTATTATTACGCCTGTTGGTACACTTGCACTTGAACGTTTCAGGCAAAACCTGTCAATATATATTATATTATATTATATACAGTATAATAATTTCATATCTGGAGTGTCATTACAAGTATTTCAATTTTTTAGATACAGTTCCATTTCCTTTAAATTTATAATATCACTATATGTCTTTTTCTTTTGCATGTATGTGTTTGATACTGTCTGGATTCTGTTTTCGCTTCTTTGGTCTTGGACTTGTCGATTCTGTATCAGATGGGCCTGGAGATGGTGCTGGAGTAGAGGCTCGTTGGGCATAGTTTGGAAGCAACTTTTGTATAAGATCATTGAAGAATTGTTCAACTCTTTTGCCAATCTTACCAACTTCAGAGTCAGGCTGAAACAATGAAAATGTTATGATTTAATTTTACAAAACAAAATATATTTTCATTATTACCACATTGCATTGGACATAATGACTCAGATGGGAGTAGGTAGTTACCAGTTTCACCACCAGGTGGCTAGTTCGGGTCAGATAGGATGCATGTATCAGAGAAAGTTCCCTTTAACTTAATATTCATTTGCTTTAGTGGTTCAATTTTTATATCACCCATATGTATCTAATAGTTATACAAATAAAATATGTACAGTAAAAGAAAATGTTATCTGTCCAATACAAGAAAAGATAAATCACTTTTTGTGATTTTATAACATGGGGTCTATGGGGAATCTCCCCAAACTAGAAGTCACATTTTCAAAAAATATTATCTTCAAAGTTGATAAACAATTTTCGAAACAATATTTTTGGATGTACTTTTACTAGTAGATTTCAAATATAATATCACTTTTGAATTTTGAATATTTAATGACGTAAATCAATATTATATCTACTTGCATCTAGTCTATTGGAATACTTTATACCTGTCTCAGATTACACAACACATCCAGTAAGTTTTGATCTTTTTACCAATATACATGTACATTTTAAAAGTTATTTCTGCAATACCAAACCCAAAGGTATACCCCACTCTTTGGCCAACCAGGATTACAAAAGCTATATCATGCTATAAGCTTATTTTGAATTGGGTAAACTAAAAATGATTAATGCAAAATAAATAAAAAAGTAAACAACCAGGTCTGATTACCCCTGGTCATTACTGGTAAGTAAGTACAGATCCCCTAACAAGTTCTGGTGACTATTGCTATGTCATTACACACTGTGTACAAAACAAGTGTATAATCACTTACTGCATTATATGTTGCACAATTTTTGAAAATAAGCTGGACATCTTCAATGAAGGTTTCTACACTGTCATAATGGTCAAAGTGACCTCTTCGCAACTTAGTTTTAATGCTTGTCAGATCCATAGGCTGTGTTATAATCTTGTAGTAGTTTGGAACCTGCAATGTATGAAGCAAATACACATCAGACTTATGTAAACAAAATTAGGAGAAATGTACACAGATTATTAATAACAAGACAATATTCATCATAAACACATCAATTATATTTCAGATTGAATCACCCCTCCCCATTACATATAAGAATAAGAATGATTTTTGAAGTTGCTTTCTTCAAAAATAGATTTGTTATTAGGGTACTGAACAGAAATTATTCATCAGATATGAAATGTAATGTTTTTTCACTAAAGGTCACAATTCTAATATGGACAATGGCAACTTCTTAATTAAGCATAGGAATACAAGGCATTAACATGCAAAAGTCACTACCTGCCATTTTAACAGGCACCAACCACTAATGCCATCCACAAAAAGTCGGAGATTATAACAATATGTCACCACTTGTAGTGGTGACATTAAAATGACTGTTAAAACATATAGTCAGGAATATTTAGGTGAAAATATTTCAAAAATATATAGAAGCAATTTTAAGGTGGATTTCAAAACTTCATACCATTCTTTTGAAAACCTGAAGTGGCACCAAGCAATCCATTGACTTTTTCACCAAAAATCCAAGATGGCCGCTGTGATGTATCAAAAAATCATAAAAAATGACTAAAGTTATGATTTAATAAGTCAAAATAGTTGTATACTGATCAAACATGACTAATAATAGTACCTATCAGAAATTCATATCCATTTAAAGTCATTGGATCATTTTTGTGTGAAAACTGGAGTCCCACAAGGCTCAACTTTATGTCCGCTACTTTTTTGGCATTTTTTGCATTGACCATGGCATTTGCACATAGCAATGCATAGAAATCCATTTTTGTAACATGTGCACCTAGGACCACATTTCACCTTGAACCCACACTTGATCAATGCTTTGCATGCTGCTTGAGGAAGGGCTGTTTCACCAAAAATCCAAGATGGCCGCCTCAATGTATCGGCAAATCACTAAAATTGACTAATATCATCATTTAATTTGTCAAAATAGTTAAATACTGATCAAACATGACTAATTATAGTACCTATTAGATGGTCATATACATTTAAAGTCACTAGATTATTTTTGTGTGAAAACTGGAGTCCCACAAGGCTCAACTTTATGTCCCCTACCTTTTTAGTCTAATGACTTTCATTGACCATGGCATTTGTACATTGTAATGTATAGAAATCCATTTTTGTAACTTGTGCACCCAGGACCACATTTCACCTTGCACCCACACTTGACCAATGCTTGGCATGCCTTAGCTGCTTGAGGAAGGGATGTACATAGTGGCACCAAGGGGGACATGTCATACTGCCAGCCCCATGTTGTGAACTCCGATACCCATGTTGGATTGAAGTTGGCCCCAAACAATACAACCTTGGTTAGCAAGTTCTTAAAATTTTCTGTGCAAGGGCTCCTTTTGTTGGTGGCATTCTATCAATGACTGTATGGCCATCACAGAACATTTGCCTTCGTGCCGCATCGATATCTATCTGGTTGCTGGTTCGATCATATACTAGAACAGTAAAACATTTTAGGGACTGAATGGCATGAACTGACAAAGTCAGGTTTGTTGTAACCATTTGTGCTACTTGTAGAAAAGCTGGAGTAACTTCCTTGAACACATTCCATAGATTGAAGGGCAGATTCTTTGCTATGGCCAAAGAATGGTGCAGTTATATAATATAATTTAATACCTGTAATTTTTGAGAGGTCAGAAGGCAATCCAGATTTACACTTATTGCACCCTAATGCTGCAGCCATGGCAAGAACAACTACACCAGTATTTCCACTGATTCTGTTTATGAAGTCTTTTTTACCTTTTGAGGTCATCTGAACAAAGAGTGCAGTATTATCTTCTTTATGAGTACACGGTTCAATCATTACCTGATTACTGTAACTGGCAACTGAGGAAAGCACTTAACAGATTCCACAATAGTCATAAACGTCAACCTCAAAAATAGAGTTGGCCAGGAATGCTAACAGCTCAGTCTTGTTCTGGTTGTTTCTTAGAAAGCTTAACCAATTCTGGGGCATCACATTCTCTGCATAAACCTTCAGGGACTTCCTACTGTTTTATAGATAACAGATAACATCTTATCTTGAAACACCTTCCATAGGCCGCCTTAACTTGGGATGAGACATTGGTACCATATTCTTGGAAGTTGGTAGCCACACCAGGATGCATCACATGGACCAGAAGGATGCCATCTATTAAAATTGCATCTGCAGGTGACTATTCCAATACTTCAGATCCATCTGGCTTAGCTTCTTGACATTAAAGTCTGCTTTTGTTGTAGGTCTCATGGCTCCGTGGTTATGTAGGGATGGCGGGAACTCATGGTTTTCATATTTGAAAAACTCAGACATGTCATTGGTTCTTGATTGGCATGCAATGTAGAGTAATAGCAAAAAGTTCATAATAATTTTTTCTCAGATTCTTGACTTCAGGATTCACTTGCATGCATAGTTGGTGTGGTCTAGGGAGAAAAAAACAAAGAATCATCTGCAGTGATTCCTGAGGTCAAGGAACTGAGAGAAGAAAATTACCTTATTGCTATGCTCTATATTGCTTGCCTTTGACAATCAAGACACATAACATGTCTGAGTTTTTCAAACATGAAACCATGAGTTCCCGCCATCCCTAGCTAAGCATGGAGCCATGAGACATACAACTAAATGACCTACTTAAATGCCTAGAAACTAAGCCAGATGGACCCAAAGTATTGGAAAAGCCAACTGCAGATTCAGTTTTAATAGACTGCCCCTTTCTGGTCCTTTCTGGTGTTTCATCCCAAGTTAAGGCAGCTTATTGAAGGTGTTCCAAGATTAGATGTTGTCTGGAATGTTTACCTACAAAACAGTGAGAAGTCCCTAACAAGGATTTATCGTGGCACTGGTGCTAGAAGGATGATTTATGCAGAGATGCACAAATGCCAAAGAATTTACCAGCCTTTCTAACAACCAATGGAACCAGACTAGGCTGTTTGCATTCCTGGCCAACTTTATGTCTGAGGTTGATGTTAATGAAATGCAAATGATAACTACTATTTGGGAATCTCTTCAGTGGTTTCCTCAATTGCCAGATACAGCAATGATTGAACCTTGTACTCATGAAAAAGCTGACACTAGGCTCTTTGTTCATATAAAACAGATGACCTCAGAGGGTAAAAAATACTTCATAATCAGAAGTGGAGATACTGATGTCCTTTTTCTTGCCATGGTTGCAGCATTAGGGCGCAATAAGTGTAAATCTGGATTGCCTTCGGACCTCTCAAAAATTACAGGTATTAAATTATATTATATAACTGCACAATTCTTTGGCCATAGCAAAGAATCTGCTCTTCAATCTATGGAATGTGTTCAAGGAAGTTAGTCCAGCTTTTCTACAAGTGGCACAAATGGTTACAACAAACCTGCCTTTGTCAGTTCAAGCCATTCGGTCCCTGGAACATTTTACTGTTTTTTATTATATGATCGAACCAGCAACCAGAGAGATATCAATGCAGCACGAAGGCTAATGTTCTGTAACGGTCATACAGTCATTGACAAATACCACCAACAAAAGGAGCCCTTGCACAGAAAATCTTAACTTGCTAACCAAGGCGGTATAGTTTGGTGCCATAACCAAAATGGTTATCGAGTTCACAACATGTGGCTGGCAGTATGACATGTCCCTCCTGATGCCACTATGTACATCCCTTCCTCAAGCAGCTAAGGCATGCCAAGCATTGGTCGAGTGTGGGTGCAAGGTGAAATGTGGTCCTAGGTGCACAAGTTACAAAAATGGATTTCTATACATTGCAATGTACAAATGCCATGGTCAATGGAAGTCATTGGACTAAAAAAGTAGGGGACATAAAGTTGAGCCTTGTGGGACTCCAGTTTTCACACAAAAACAATTTAGTGACTTTAAATGCATATGACCATCTAATAGGTACTATGATTAGTCATGTTTGATCGGTATTTAACTATTTTGACAAATTAAATGACGATATTAGTCAATTTTAGTTATTTGCCGATACATTGTGGCGGCCATCTTGGATTTTTGGTGAAACAGTCAATGGATTGCTTGGTGCCACTTCAGGTTCTCAAAAGGATGGTATGAAGTTTTGAAATTCACCTAAATATTGCTTCTATATATTTTTGAAATATTCTGTGAACATATCTCCTATTCAAACCCGACTAATATGCAATACCAAATGAAGCTGACCATGAAAATGAAGTGAATGAAGTGCAAGAAACTAGAGATTGTAAGACAACACTTACCGATCTATCTACTGGATCATGGAAAGGGGTACTCTGGTCATGAGAGAAGAGTTCAAGGAGAATCCTCTCACAAACCTAAAACACACAAAATATTTTTGACCTCTTTCATATTTGGGCATGTACATTGTATATATATTAGTATGGTCTGAAGGAGGTTACTGTATAAGTGGTAATTTTGCCTAATCATTTAATTTGCCTATTTCCTAATTTTTGCCAGGTTCGGAAAATTAAATGTCGGAAATATTGTCTTTATAATGTTATCCAATGGGAGGTTTCTTGTCATTAGGAATTAAAATTAGGAAAATGATGAAATTTGACCATTCGGAAAATTAACCACTCGGATTAAATACCACTTATACAGTATTTGAATTTTCTAAATGCACCAGCGCTAATTACAGAATATACAGTTCAGAAATTTATATTTGCATGTTTGCATTATGAATTGGTGAATGGTGTGGTTTTGATACAGGAGCTGAACACACTACTGTTTACCTTCAGCTCTTTGTCACTGAGTCCTACGGGAGCCTTTCTCTTCATTGTGCCCTCGGTTAGCTCAGACTTGGGACTGGTGTCTGTGATTCTCAACTCATCCACACTATGACACAATGGGCAACGCCACGAAATATCAGGACTGCAAAATGCGAGATATATAAGAGCAACACTAAAACGGACAAAATGAGTGGAGAGGAGAGGGTATGATTTCTGATAGAAAATTCAACAAATTTGCATGATTTATTTTTTCATGAGAAAGTTTACAAATAAATCACTACATGAAAAGGTCCATAGAATCGTGAAATCTGGAATTTTTTTTATTCTGCACAGATACATAGACCTATTGATTATATAATTTTGTTCAAGTTCAATTTAAGATGTAATCTTTCCAAACTATGAGCAACTTTAGAGGTTTTCAAACCCCAAAATCAACACTAAATGAATAATAAACTAGCTGTATACTGTATTTGACATTGGTTCAATTCATGGAGGAATTTTGATTTCAGTCACCCTGCCAAAAATAGAATATGAATTAAATGTCCCAAATAGGTCACAGTGACCTGTATATATATATTTGAACTGCTTACAATTTTGAACATTGTTTTATATAAAACTTAAATTCTGGATCTGATAAAAAACCAAGGTTCAACAATCAAGCCAAATATAATTCTTCCAATTGCTCATTCAGTATTTGATTGACAGCTCAATTTTGCACTTTCCATATTTGGAAAATGAAATTGATGTACTGTGTTAAAACTCCAAGGTCAAGCTGATCTGGTCACTCTCTAAGATAATTTAAATAGAATATTGACTGAAATTAGGTGATTCTATCTTCATTTTTGTCAGTTGAAATATATTTATAGAAAAAATGATGTTTCAAATCATTCTTAGATATGCAATATCAGTTTATTTGAGAGGTTTTATGAGAATTATATTATTATTTAAAAGGATGTTTTTGCATCTTTTATATGATTATTTTGTCAAAGAAATAATTTTACAATCTTCACAAGTTCAGGGTTTCATTTGAGTCCCAATTTATTCAATTTTGGGTCATACCTCCATGTTCCTTGAAAAACTCCAACCTTACAACACCTTACATCTCTACTTCATAGAGGAACAATGAACTATGACATTTAATCAATTAGCCTATGTCAAGGTTGTGAACTTTCTTGTTTCTTTTTACAATTTCTCCTTATTCTCACGACTTATGAATAATGCAAGTGTGAAAAATGTCTGCTTACAGTTTAATTAGAAAAAGTAAGAACAACACAATTAAAAATTTCGAATCAAGAACTACATTACCGGAGTTTCTCGCAAATAGGCCCATGGGCATTTATTTGAAAGAGGGATGTATGAAAAAGTATTTTTCCCTCTTTATAAAGGCCCATTGGTGTTCATTTAAAAGGAATCTTTATAAACACCCAGTGGGCGAAAACATTCGAGAAAAGGATTCAAATTGCTTAAAAACAGAAATGGCAAACAGAACAGAGCATTGGGGTAAGCTTGACATGATGTAGCAGAAATATGACAAAAGGTCACATATTGGACAATCTTCTTGCCCGCATTCATGTTATTATTGCATGAGTATGAAGACCATGGGCCAACTTTGCGATCAATAATATCCCCCGAAATAAATGCCCACTGGCTTGAGAAAGCCATTTTTCCTCTTAATAAATGCCTACCCCCTTGGAAAAATGTTTTCCCCTCTAAATAAAGGCCCATGGGTGTTTATTAAAAATTCTTTCAAATAAACACCCTGTGCAAAATAAACACCCATGGGCCTATTTGCGAGAAAAACTGATATGGTGGGAGGAACAATAAATTGCAAGAAAACAAAAGGTGACAATTAATAAGACAACAAAAGATGAATATTAAATTTATCTTACTTGGGGAATTCTTTCAGTTCTGGAACATGGCATTTTAAATGGAAGACTTTGGGGCAGAATTCGCAACATAACAGGTCCCCTCCATTGTGACAAACAGCACAGTAATCCTCATTTGGGTCATCGGAATTCTGGCTGTGTGGTACATTCTGTTCTGCATTCTCTTCTACCTTTGGTTGTTCAGTGAATGGAATGGTGTCAGTAGAGGAATCTTCTTCCTACAATACATCATTTGGAGGATGAAGTATAATCAATTTTCAAGTATAATCAATCATGTAAGCTGACGATAGGGATACAGCAATTTAGTGTAGTCCTTTAAAGTTACATCCAAACAAACTGTTTGTAGTTTATTTGCAGATTGTAGTTTTTTGATGATAAGACAGAACATATTTTGCATATGTCAGGCTCAATCATGAGCCCCCATAAAATTGCTAAGTTCAGGAAAATGGCAGTTTTCATTTAGACCTATTCTAAAATTGTTGATGGATAAAGTGACAAATGGACTAGCTGGTGATTCTATAGGTTCAGTATGTTTTTTGTGTCAAATATCAAGTCTCCACTATTGTTTGCAATAATAAATATGGAAAGGAGTATGATCTTCGCACATGTCCTTATTACGATCATGATGTTTAATCAAAGCAGAACATAAATATACCATTTGTGTTTGTGATCCTACAGGATCTTTTGTATCATCCTTGTCTTGTTTTTCTGTCCTCTTGAGATCATTATAGAGGGTGCTTGCATCATCATCAGGATTGTAATTGCTGGGGTTCTGCAAAAAATATGAAAAAATATTTCAATCAAGAATGTCATGAAATGATTACAGTGTACAATCATTTGTAAGTTTCAATTTCCATAATTGCGCAATGACAGTCATTTTTGAATATTTCCTTAAAATATTTTATCAACGTAGTTCTAAATCATGATAAATTCAATATTACAAATTTAATGCACACATTAAGCATAGCTTCAGTTTTATGTTTCAACTTAATAACCTTATTATTAATAACAAGTGATAATGGGAATGTTACTCTGGACCTCTATCACTAATTATAAAAATCAAGAAAAATAGAACCATACTTATTACAGGCTTACAAGAGATTTCCTACCAAGTGTATCACAAGGAAAAAATAACAAGATGCAAAGTGATAAATATCGCACTTTGAGAGCAAAATTGCCACTATGTGATTTACCCAGCATGCCCAAAATCTAATCAAATGGTGACACTTGTCTGCTCTTGCATCTGTTAAAATTGTAAGACGAAAAAGCACTTATCCTTGAATTTTGATGACAAGATTGATGTGGTACAAATGCTAGGTATAAACATCCACACTGCTAATATGAATATGAAACTATGACTATGACTCACCAAGCTGACAGGAAGCCTCATGCCCATTTGTGGCTCATCAACTGACAGTCGTTCTGTCTTTGGTTTTATGCCTGACTGTGCACTATCAGGGCTCTCTGCCTTAGGGGCTTGTGGTTGGGGAGATGGTGTGCTGTAATTCCTTGGTGTGAATCCTTGTGACCCAGTTGATTCTGCAAAATAATATTTCCTCATTTGACTACCTTCACAAGAACTTATTTTCAATGATGATGTTGAGAAAATTTTGGCAAGATTGCAGCCTTTGTCGTGAAAGGGTTAAGCGTCCACAATGGCCAACTAAATATGGAAATTTGTGTTGATTTTCAAATCCCTCCTAAGTGACTAATGAGAGAAACATTTATAATTGAGTTATTGTTCAAAGTGATTTTCCAGCAATGCAATTTGAATTTTACCTTTATGTGGCACTGTAGAAGAGACCAAGTTTCCCTGCTGTGCCTGCTTCTTCTGCAACTCCATGTTGCTTTTCCTCAGTTGTTCAATCTCTGCCTGCAGCTGTAGCTGTTGTTGTTGCTCCTGCTGCTTCTGTACTTGTTGTTCTAATATCCTCCGCTGTTGTAACTGGATGAGGTTTATCTTTTGTGTGTCAACTGTTCCAACAGTTTGAGAAACTGCTTGTGCCAGGGGTTTAACTAAACTATTGGCTTGCCTCAGCTTCTGCTCCTCTTTTTCCTGTTTGTATTTTCTCAGGAGGAATGCTTGTTGGTCAGGTTTGAGTTGTAGGAACTGCTGCCTAGTGAGGTTTGGTAGATTCTGTACCTGCTGGGTGGTTCCAGGTGGGTTAGAGGCTGTGCTGGTCGTGGGTCTCTGTCTAACAACTTGTTTGCTTGTCTGGTCATGTTGGCTCACCGAAGATGTTGACACTGGGTGGGTCACAGTTGAAGTGGAGTTGGTAACTTGGACAGGATCGGGGTTGGGTGGCCCTTGGTTGTTAATAGCATAACCGGGACCAGGGTATACGACACCATCCACCATTATCTTACCTGCTGATTTGATATGATTGTTGAAATTATCATCTACTTCAAAATTTATGGCCACTCTGTGTTGTGGGTTAGGGACCTGCACAATGGTTTTGTGAACCTTACGAATCTGTGTTATCATCACACGCCTACTGCTCAACAATGCTGTGTCACTAGATTCTTTAATGGCAAACTGTGCTACTTTTACAGCTTGATCAATTTTTACCTTTAAGTCCAGAACCTCAACTTGTTTCTTTGTCAACTGGCTTTTCTTCACTTGAGAGATCTCTTGCAGGTTGCTCAAAATCGTCTTCGCTCTGTGATTGATCTCATGAATTGCACGAACAGCAAAGTTCTTAATACTTGTTGTAACTTCCACTTCACGGTCAGCTATCTCATCATGACGTCTTTTAATAAGCTCCAGTGCTTCATTCACGTGCTTTCCCTTTTCAATCAATCTGTCAACTGATTTCTTAAGGTCGTTTCTGTGATGGCCCGTAGCTTCCTCGATAGTGAGATATCTATGGCCCTTATGGTCTTCTAACTGACAGTCCCGGCATGTTAATCTGCAATGTAAAGGGAATTGTTTAAATCAATAAGATTATTTGGATATTTAAAGAAACATTTTTACAATTGATAAGTCAAAAGCATCTAAGAAAGGTGGGCAAAATGACAAATATCACAAGGTTCTTAATTTATTTGTTTTCTAAACTGGGTCAAAAATCCCTTTTATCATTTTTGCCCAAAACAGAAATACATGTACTAGTAATTTTCAATTTCAGTTAGGTCAACTTCGAGGCGAGTGACACAATCTCTCTCTTATTTGCCTTAACATTTTTTCAGCATTTTTCAAATAGAACTAGTGAATATTAATACATACTTGGTACAGTCCTGGCAGTAGAACCGGTATTGTTCACCCCTGTGAGCAGGACAGATCAAATGGATACTTTGAGATTTCTGGTTTTTGTTGCTGGAAGCTTCCTCCTTAGACTGAATGTTGTGGTCTTTGGTGACCTTGACACGCCTATGTGCTGAGACACATCCATCACAGAGCCATTCGTTACACTCAACACAGAATGATGTAGGTACAGCATTATCCTCACAAGCAGTACAGAGACCTATATCTTCAGAGTGTGGTGAAGCACCTCCTTCGGTTGTAGGAACCTTTTTTGTCACGAGTAAATTGTCAGTGAGTTCATTTACCGGGAACACTTGGGAACAAAGTGGGCACTTCACAGAGTTATCTGAAAACACAAGTTACATAGTGAACACCTCATTTTGCCAAAAATAGCCAAAAACTAAAAAATATTTATTTCATGTATTTCCTCTATTGCTAGAACTTTGCTTCAGCATTTTCACTTGTATAAAGAAATGGATGAACTTCCATCAGAGGAAATGTTTGTCATTTTCACCAAGAATGACGTCCAGGGTTCTCATCAGAAAATTTTTAGACCCCGGATTTTTAGCGGTATTGTGACTACTTTTTTTTATACTTTTCAACATACTTCTTAAGATTATCTTGCTATTTTAATCCCAATATTTATTTCTAAAAGGTTTCTGACTTCTTATTCCTTATTTGTATCCAGTTTTATGTATTTTCTCAAGAGTGTTACCGCAAATATTGTGACAAAAATGTAAAATTTGACTCCTGAAAAAACACTTTAGACTCCAGAAAAGCTATTAGACTCTGGAGCAAGAGGGTTTTAAGACATTGTCGTCGATCTGTATCCAAATATCTTACATGTACCACTATGTTGAAAGTAACATTCAAGTTACTGAAAAGTAAATCAGTCACAAGTCAAATGTTTCACTTGAACTTCTCACAACAGACTAAATAAATGAAAACATCAGGCAAAATTAATGGAAATCATAAATTTAACATGGAGAAGTTGAAAAGTTCCTACAAACCACAGGCGGTTTTGTCAAAACAACCAGTTGCCTGCTGGTAGGTAATGAAACCCTTGCAAGTATATACATCCGAGGGCTCCAATTAGCCTTGCCCAAGTCGGTCTCTTTTACTATCTTGATTTCTATTATAACCGCCTTGTACCAAAGAGAAAGCCACGTGCTTTACCAACAGTTTGTTGATGTCGGTAAAATTTGACCAATCAACGACGGCCCTGAAGCGTTAGCTCATTATTATGCACGGTCAAAAACAAGTACACTTTTCACCGGGACTTTTCACGAACAAATCTTGCACGAATCTGAGCATGAATTCATTATGAAAATACAAATATTTTATCAGATAAATATCAATGAGAGTTTAGTGGATGCCGGGGTATCGATAACCAAAGGTGAGAAGATTTCAACAATAAACGTTGAAACGATCGCTGAACATGTAGGCTGAGATTCAATCACCGATTGACGACAACATGACCCGCTACATTGGACTAGGTGTTCGTGAATTTTCATCGCGAAATCAGTTTTAAATCAACATTGAATCGCATGATTTAATTTATATTAATGACTCTTACCTTCCAATGTACATTTAAATACATAATATATTGTTACTCTAACGAAACACTCGATCAGATCATTGAATTTCAAGTCGTAGATAGGAAGTTTGTTTTGTTTATAGGCCAATGGTTTTGTTTATGAAGCTCAACCTGATAACGTTTTGATTGGTCATTCAGCCTGAAGTCACACGTTGTGTCCACGCGATATCTGTCAATCAATAAGGTTTCGCGATACCCCTGATAGCGTAGGTATTATGGAAATCTCGAAACCGTTGAATATTTCAGCATAATAACAGCGGAGATGTATTGGATTGTACAAGGCGGTAATAATTCAAGATCAGATAAGTAAAAAAATACAAAACAGAAGGGCTTGAGCAAGCTATTGTAGTCCCATAGAAGTGGATTTTCAAACTTGCTAGAAGAAAACATTTTCCTGAATCATAATTTCACTTAATGTCTTACCTTTCATTTTTTATTGAACCAGAGATAACTTATTGCATCTATATTAGAAAAACCAGGATGATATTATAAGCCCCAACTTTGGCTCTTCGGAAAGGACACACACATATACAATGTAATTGCAATTATTAAAGGGTTTATAATGGTTTATATAAGTTTCATTATTATGATTATATGTTCCGCATATTTTGTTTTCAAGCTTACACATATATGGTTCTAAATAACTTATAGTTTTTATCGGAATCATTATCATAGAAATGAAATATAGGAAGACCAGTCTCTTCACATGGCCTGTGATTTTGGCAAAAAAAAGTTCAATCATTTTTCCAATTACCATAATACTTAATAACTTTGAATATCCTGTTCATTTTTCCTTCTGTCTGAATCATTACAAAGTCCTTAGTAATGTTTGTTTATATGAGACAATCATGACAGTATATATGTGTACCATATGACTAAACCACACTTATCCAAAGCTCCTCCGAAAAGACATTTTTTAGTGTATTGCTAAATACTGTTTAAACAGATTGAATTTGTGGGAGCAATTTTTGGAGATTATACATTGTTTCTATTTGTGTATTCATATTTTCGAGATTTACCACAGATTAAAAATTATCTGCGATTTTTCATAGGCAATAGGGCAAGACATCATTAAAGTCATCACTTTAAGGCTATCATGAATGTACTTATAGTTTTTTAGCTGCTGGACCAGGGACACGTGGGCCTATGTAACAGCATTATGCACAGAAACGACTCAATTGTTGGTGATAATTGTCAGTAAATTAAACCTATTATCACAGCAAAAATAGTGATGAAGATACAATTTTATATTTGCGGCATCCTTAATTTGTAATTTTACACTCAGTGTTTTAAAGGGTTTTACAGAACTGTCCTATTTGTAAACATTGTGCTAATGCCTTTATACATCAGTACTCAGAAAAGTTAGTAAGAGACACCCACAGTTTGTCTTTTCCGAAGAGCTCTTCGGAAAGGACTTTTTTCTTGTGTCAGAATTTTAAAATTGGTTTTACAGGTATATGACAGTTCAAAGCTACTTGTTTGTTTTGAATATTCAAGAAACTAAATGCATTTTGTTTTAAAATAGTTTTTAGTGTATCATATCACTTCAGTCTTAAAATACACATGCTCTTCGGAAAAGACATTTGCGTGTCGGAAAATCAGTTAGTTATTTTGAGAGCCAATATCTCAGGAACCACTACAGCCTTTTGTATAATTCTTTTTAGTGACAGAATTCTAACACTCAGTACTATTGATATCATCTTAAAAAACAGTAAGCAAAGATTGGAAAATATGTTGAAAAATTCTGTATTTTTTAACATAAAATTTAAATTTAAATGTTACACCAACGGTTATGTGTTACAAGCGGTTATAAAAACTCTATACATTATAATGGACACACTTGTTGCATATCATTTTAAAGCAAATTCCTTAATCTTCCCAATGCAGCCAAATTACTTTAACAAACTCTATTTAAATACATGCTTGAAGTATATATTTAAATGTGGATTTTTTCTCGGGAATTTGTTACCCCCGTGTTAGCTCCTGGATTCGCCAGTGCAGGGGGTGGGATTTTGACATAATACTTCATCCTGGCAGTAGGGACTTTTGAAATATTCCTATATTGATCGGGACTCGACTATTCTTGACCAGCTTTTATTGCAAGAGATGGAGGAATCTTAAAATAGACATATTATGAGTTGTTCTTAGCAATTCAAATGTCAGACATTTACAACATTTTTACAACGATATGGCAGGGCTGTCAACTTGGGACCATCTAACGTGAGTGACTTACAAATATTGAACACCTTCCTTCACATTTTGGACACCTTACTGAATACTGGTCAATATTATGGAACACCTAAAAATTTAGGTGTAGGGTAGGTGTAAATATTTTTGAAACAAATGCGTAATATATACACATATTTCGTACCAAATGCGTGACATAAACGGCAATGGCATGCAAAGACTGTATGGAATGCGTTCGCTTTTTTCGCCATTCGAACTTTTACTGTATCAGCATTTCATAAGAAACGATTTTTAAAATGTCAACATTATTTATCGCATCCTACGACCCCTTTAGATTGTGGTCGTACGCCGGTATCATTGGTAAGCCTGTCTTTCTACAATGTCGGAGAATGAACTACGCATTGCACTATTAAATGACCTACCTCGATACATTCCATGTATTTTAGAATTCTTTTTATGTTGTTAGATCGCCAATTGTATGGGTTTATCGGCAGAACGAAGAGATTTTAGTTTTTACATCGGAAATATATCAGCAATTTTCAAAATGTCGGAAGGGGAATTCCCCAGGAATTTCCCTTAGACTGGTGCATGCCGGGAACTGAATGGAGGAATTTGACGGTTGAAATAAGTTAAATATTACACGCAAATATTGCTATCAAAAACGAAAACCTCTTCGTTCTGCCGATAAACCCACACAATTGTGGATTCAACTACACAAAAAGAATGCTAAAATACCAAGGAATCTATTGAAATAGGTATCTTAAGTGTAAGTAGCATAGAAAATTCTCCCATGTTGTAATCGTACAGACAAAAGAATAAGACGTTCGCAAGACTAGAACGTAGAGATAGTCTTGGAACGAGATAAAACATTATGTGTGATATTTGATCATACACGCTATATTGATGCATGATTTCTCTTTTTCCAGCAAATGCCAGATCACGCCTAATGCATGAGGGTTGACAGGGCTGTTATAGAATTACTTCGTTGTGGGGCTATTTCAACCAGATTGGCTTATTTTCTTGATTCACAGTGTCCGCCATGTTAGTTTTTGAAAATCGAAACCTCCAACAGGTGAGGATTTATATGACTAGGTCTTACTGACCCCAGAAATATGAGTTATCGGCACTGGTCGAAATAACCCCATGGTCAGAATAACCCCATGACGAAGTGAACACAGCGCATACAACGCGACGAACCTATGTGTCTACTATGCTACTTGGAACTCTCGGAGCGAATACTCCATGCGTTTCAGCCAAACTTTTAAATGGTGCATTGAAGAAACGCGACTTTCCTTTGGGAAACATTTGGATCTTGCCTATAAAAACGTACCTGGTTCGGAAACAACACAGGACCTGCAGAAAGAATGGAGACACGGAAATAACTTGGCTTCCTTCGTTTCAAAACTCTCTTTACACACGCCACAATTATAAACGCCTCCTTCAGAACCTTTCTCTGGCGGTTTTTCTGTCGATTCGGCTTCCATATCTAATGATTTCTAAACTTGTAAAAGGGCAATCTACTTTTTATCCTGGTAACTTTGATAACTTTCCCGCACGACAACCGACTTGACCTACTTTGATTTGGGTGTTACTAAATACCACCTAGGTGTCCCACACCTAGGTGCCCCTTTTCAGGTGTCCCTTTTCAGGTGGCGGCGTGAGGCTTGGAATATAGGGAAATATTGGTCGATTAGACCCTGATATAAGTCAAATAATAGTACTAGAGTATGAATGGAGTTGTACTTTTCTTGATGAGGTAAGAATAAAAGTAGTTTTGTGACATTTTAAAGAGAAAAAACTAAGATATTTTTTCTAGATTTTTTTCTGACCATGTTGCTTTCGGAAAATAAAAATCTCTCAACTTTCTATCAGCATTTCCAACACTGGTCTTTGTTATTACAAAACCAAAAGTTGTTGTATGTGTTCATCGTTGTATCATTTATATGAGATGGTTACAACAATTCTAAAGATTCAACTCTCTTGTCAAAGATGACCCAGGAACCCCAGGACCCTATCCTACAGATTTTCTTTATCAACCAGATATCAGTTCCTGGTCAGTTAGACTATATATCCTCTAGTCTGATATTAGATATAGTCACTAAGCAGTCAGTGTACAATGTACATGTCAGAGAATAAGTCTAGTACTAAGGAAAAGTGTATGTATATGTAGACTGAGCAATAAAAAGTACATGACTTTGAACCCATGCACAGTAAAATTCAATAATTCTAGGATAGAAAATAGTATTCTATCCTAGAATTATTGAATTTTACTGTGCATGGGTTCAAAGTCATGTACTTTTTATACAATACATAGAAAATAATGTATTGTGCATCTTCAGCATTCAGCTGAGAAGATATCTAATGATCTCTCTAGACTCGGCATGATGCCTTGTTCTGTAGGCATCTGGATGAGGAATGGGAGCAGCTATTCTGCCATCAACTGAATACTTTGGGGGAAAAAAACAGAAGCTGCTGTCAAGTCAGTTCAACGTAATATACGTATGTCACCTGCGATCCCAACATCTCAGTTTTACATACAGACATGGGCTTTCAACTAAATAATTATGAGAGTGCTTTAAAGCTCAAATATTGTTATATATCATTTTGCTACCAAGATACGACCACTTCCAAGTCAAGATTGTCCATTCATGAGTGCCTCGATAAGATCTACATGTACATTCTCTAAGTCATCATTTTTTTAAATAATTCAGTATTCGTGTATCCTAATCATTCAATGTTCACTTTCAGCATTACAACTTGCCATCAAAGCGCTGTACAAAATCCGATCAAAATGATGCTGAAATAGTAAAAGTCTGTGTGAAAGTGTAAGCTTGCCTGCACCCAAGCTTTCCCCAAGACTAGAATCATCATCAGGTTTGATATTAATGTTCAAATAATTATTGTCACTAGTTCCAGGCATAACCTAAAAGAAATTATCAGTATCTATGTAAATTGTTCATATACTGGATTTCATTTGCTTGAACAAATTTACTCAATATTTCATTAAGTTTATAGTCAAATTGTTTTTTTGCTCTTGTAAATGCTGATATATGCCTCATGGTGTCATTGTGTATTACATGTAGCTTAGCTTTTTTCATGTATATTTTGTAACAATAATAATATAATATGTATAATGATAATTTGTGAGTATGCACTTAAAAGTATCATTACTATACTTGTCAAAGTATAACCCAGTGGTCGAAACCCTTTCAAACAGATATGTTGATTTTTCTGTTATTTCAGCCAGAAGAGCAATTCCATGTTTTGGACACCACAACACAAAACATGAAAGATGAACAGTGGTTTGTGCTGACTCATTTAACCAGACAACAATAGTCTCAAAAATAACTAGAGGTAGGATATTATATATATTGTGATGTCACCAAGCATTAAGCATAGCAAGTTAACAAAATTAAAAAAATCATTTTTCAACTTAATTTCTTTTTTTCCCTGGAAAAGAAAGGTATTATAAAAAGAATTTCAAAAACAATATTCAATTGTGAAGGTGTATCTTAAAGAAAATCAATTTTAGGGATCGGTCCTATTGAACTCAATTTAAATGTTCAAAACAGAAAAAACGGCTCTTACCCAAAATCATTTACTAGCTTTATTTTTGACATTTTAATGTTCTTTCTTTGTAATATACAACATGGCGCACTCTTTTGAAAAAAATCACTAAATTATTTCTTGATTTCAACATTTTATGGTTGTTTGCGTATGATGGTTTGGTGAGCCTCTATAGCCTATAGAATGCTAATGCAGTTGGAGTGAAATATAACAAAAATAAAAAATTCATTTTTCAACTGGTAAAGAGAGGTATTATAAAAAGAATTCAAAAACAATATTTAATTTGGAAGATGTAACTTAGAGAAAATCAATTTTAGGGATCAAACCTACTGAACTCAATGTAAAATGTTCAAAACTGAAAAAAACAGCTCTGACCTAAAATCATTCACTTGCTTTATTTTTGACATTTTAATGTTCTTTCCTTGTAATATACAACATGGCGCACTCTTTTGAAAAAAATCACTAAATTATTTCTTGATTTCAACATTTTAAGGTTATTTGCGTTTGATGTTTTGGTGAGCCTCTGGAGACTATAGAATGCTATGCAGGTGAGTGAAATATAACAAAAATAAAAGATTCATTTTTCAACTTTGATTTTCCTTTTCCTAGTAAAGAAAAGTATCATAAAAAGAATTTCAAAAACAATATTCAATTTAGAATATGTAACTTAGAGAAAATCAATTTTAGGGATCGGTCCTACTGAACTCAATATAAAATGATCAAAACTGAAAAAACGGCTCTAACCTAAAATCATTCGCTGGCTTTATTTTTGACATTCTAATATTCTTTCCTTGTAATATACAACAACTTTTTTCAACTTTGATTTTCCTTTTTCCTGGTAAAGAATCCAATCAAAGCAAAATCTATTTCATCTTGACAAAAAGAGATTAAAATTTTCAAAGACCTTATGATTATACAATGCATTCTTACATTATAGCATTTATAAACAATGCTTTGACTTAATTGTTTGCATTAACATGTTGCATATTACCCTTTTATCAAACAATAATCTGCTACAACTAGCCAAATATGGACTAAGGATTACAAAATATATTCTTTAATGATAGCTTCTCAAAACAATGCCTTGACTTGTTTACAAATGCTGTTGTATAATGCCGCTGTTATCAAACTCCAATCTTCTTCAACTAGAGAAAGAGATTAACTATTTCAAAGAACTATACATTTTACAATATCAATATATACCATTGGGCATATGAATTTTTAGATGACTACAATAATTAAAACTTTAACTTAAATCTTCTTAAATAAGTTTTTTCAATATAAGTCATACATAAGATTTCTAATAGGGGATTATTTTCAAATGACAGTAAAAAATGAACTCCCTTAGTAATCATTGCTTAGGGAGATGAAGGGGTATCCCATGTAAAAAAACTTGATGATGTTTGGAATTACACATAATTTGTGTCTTAATAGTATAACACTGTAATTGCAGGATAGAGAGTTATGAGAAGGTCGCAGGTAAACTGTTCTCCACTTTAATGCTGCTGTAACATCTTGCTCCATCTGGCCTTGGCACAGGGTGTATGAGATATATACAACCAACTATGACTACCACCAGCAATACCCTGTTGCCATCTCTCATAGTCCTTATTCCAGGTGTGGACGGTCCGACATAGAAACAGTTGTACCTTGATCTGCAGATAAAACTTATAGTGAGAATCTAGCTGCATCTGATCAACCATAACCACTCAGTGTTGGATTGTTAATATATGAAGTGAACTAGTTTATCAATAATGAGTTAAAGTCTGGATTACATCAGAGATTATTATGAATGTACTATGTCATGGATTGTATTCTGCATTGTGGATTACATGTAATATACATGTAGTTCAAACTACATCCTGAGTTATATAGTGCATTATGGATCATATACTTCAAGCTGACTGTATCAGCAATTATGACTGACTCTGTCTGGCTACCTCCTCCTCCAACATATAGATTAGGGAGAATAGCATTAGTCCCTTTAATGAACTGTAGAGCTAAGCTTGAAGTTTGCATAATTTCAAACTTGCACTGCTATGGTATCTATAGTTATAAAAAGAGGATCTACTGCTATTGATGCATCATGTTGTTGCTTTGTGAAATAATTGACTTGTAGTTTTGTTATGTCACCACCAAAAAGTGGTGACATATTCCATTTTTTGACAGCGGTTGGTGGTTAGCGGTTGGCAATCAGCATCTGTAACAAATTCTTACAACTTCCAATAACTTAACAAATACTGTTTAGACCAACTTCAATTTTTTTCAAAATCATCTAAAAGTTTTCAGAAGTTCAAATCTGACTTTACATTTATATTTGACCTTGACTGACCCTCTCAAGTCAAAAAAGGTCAAAAAGGTATTTTTTCAACTTGCTTCAAATTGACCAATATCTTTTTTCAAAATCATCTACAAGTTCTCAAATATTCAAATCTGACTATAGATTTGACCTTCAATGACATTCTTAAAGTAAAAAAGATTTGACCTTTAATGACCTTCTCAGGGTCAAAAAGGTCTTTTTTCATCTTGCTTCAAATTGACCAATTTATTTTTTCAAAATCATCTACAAGTTCTCAGAAATTCAAATCTGACTTAAGATTGAACTCATAATACTGTGAGCACCTAGGTGGTGACATCTTGTTATTTATGCCTTGTTGGCATCTTGTCAGGGGTAGGGGAAAATTCAATTTTTATATAATTGTCATTGAAATCATGCTTAGAATCTTTCAACCTTTAATATCTAATATTATGTGTACATGAGACCATGTTGTTTAAATATTCAATGTCTTATGTCATTATTTTGTGAAATAATTGACGTGTAGTTTTCTTGGCATCTCTAGGGGAAAATGTAGTTTTAATATCGTCATTGAAATCATGCTTAGACTGGTTTAATCTTTAACATCTTATATAGTATGTACATGAAACCATCTTGTTTAAATTCAATGTCTTATGGCATTATCTTGTGAAATAATAGTTTTCTTGGCATCTTGTTCGGGGTAGGGGAAAACACAAAATT